TACCGTCTACTGTACTGATTTTGTACAATGTTTATACCTACCCAAAAATTTCTTTTTTTTACATCGTATTATAAAAATTGTACAATGTCGTACTGGCATTCGGAAAATCGACTTCATTCCGAACATTTTTTCGAATAATGCCTACAATGCTGAACAAACTTTTTTTATAGGGAAGATAATAGAGCACCTATCCGCATCCAACACTATCTCTACCTACTCAATAAATCCTGGTTACTTGGACCAAGTCTTTCCACGCATCAATTGAAGTATTACCAATATTAGGGTTTGGTTAAAGTAGTTTTAGTGTTCTAGTTAGAGTAGTTTAGTTAGTATTGGTATAGTGAGTGAGTATATCTACCTAGTAGTTTTTCCGACGCAGCCCACACTTTCTCACCGGTCGGTAAGGTGGGACTCTGAAATTTTTCTTTTAATATATCAGAAATCCTCCACAAATAATCATATGCTAAAACAAAATTGATTATATTTATGTGAACTGACTAAATTAATGATTGGATATAATAATAGATCTTAAGTTTGATTATGACACGATTCCCGAAAGTTATTCCCGCCAACTTAGTTTCCTGACACTGCAATGCTGACATGCCATTCATCCACAGCACATTTGTTTCAATAAGACAATATATTCGAGGTTACATGATTTACAATCCTCTTCTTAGACAAGACATTTCTAATTAACACTAACTCGAAATCAAACAACTCTAATGCTAAAAGGGCCAATTTTATGTTGAAAAAATAATTGTCAGGAAAAGTCTTGTCTAAGAAAAGGATTGTTGAAAACGTAATGTCGAATATATGTCTTATCGAAACATGTACCGTAGATGAAATAGTATGTCGACATTATAGTGCTGGGAAATAACTTTCGGGGATTGATTGACAATGTTACGGTCACGGGAGAGACTTTAGATCTTCGTAGCCAATTTAGCAGAGGACCGTAAACATTAATAAGAAATGAACCAACTAATTTATTGTCACAAAAGGCACCAAAAGTACAAACAAATATTCTATGTTGTGTCCCAGACACTCTTTTACTAATACACTTATTTCCCTAGCTACTTAGCAAGTTCCAAACCTACTAAGAGCAAACCACAAAATAACCCGAAAGATAAAATCCACTAAAACTAAAAGACAAATCAAAAATCCCCAAAAATCCTGCTAACTACTGTACATATCATTCTATTTATATTCTTAAATAAGCTCTAAAATAAACTACGTGCCATTTAAAGTCAAATTAAAGTATACTTTATACTTTACTTAAACTATTAAATGTGACACAAAAGTATATAGAAGTCAATCGAAAGTATATATGTTACACAGCCGAAAGTTTAATTCTGAAACTTCGTTGTGTAACATATTCCTCCTCTTGAAGGATGAGCTCCGCTCGAATCCTGTTACCGCAAAAATCTTTCGACTAGATCACGTGTTTTTCGTTCGTCCGAAATCGTCAAGACCGATTCTTCAATATATTCGACAAGTCTTTCATTAAATCGTCAGCGTCGGTTATTACATGTCGCTTGAATCACCGTTGCGACGTCGTTATCTTGAATTTGGATTGTGTGGACTTTAATTTCTTCTAGTCACAATTCATCTCTAATTATTCACTTTTCTTGAAATCTTTAACTTTTTAGGCGTAAAGTGTCATGTGGATATATTTTCCATGAATATTCGATAATTTATAGGTTGTATCAGTTGTAGGTGCCCCTTGCCCCGCACCTACTCGTCGTAGCCATCCCTACTTCACTACGTCCGTTAATGTTCAGTTAATAATAATCTCTTTTCTTCCAACATTTTATTCTATCTACATAATACTCATCCTCCAATTTTTCTATGCACTCAAATTCTGACTTATATGTGTGATTTTGATTTTTTTTTTTTTTTTTTTCTTTTATCTATTAGTTGGTTCTTTACTTCCCGTCAAACTTCCACTCGATCAAATGCGACTCTTGATAATGCATCGACGTTGGCCATTTGTTTTCTGGGTTTATGCTTTACAACAAAGTCATAACCCTGTAGTATCATAATATACCGTGCCATTCTGCCAGTTGGGTTCAACATGTTATTCAAATAATTCAAAGCACTATGGTCAGTTATCAACGTAACTGGGGCCCATGTAAATACTGATGGAACTTTTTCACAACCCAAATGATCGCAGTACATTCCAATTCAGTAATCATATAGTTCTTCTCTGGAGGCTTTGTTGATTGGCTTGCATATTCAACAACACATTCTTAGCATTCATCATTCATTTGTGCAAGTATAGTACCCAGGGCTATATGCGACGCATCTGTATACAACAAGAACTTCTTATCATCTCATGGATGTATTAGAATCAGGGCCGTCGTTAATCGTATCTTTAACTCTATAAACGTTTTTTCTTGTTCTTCTTTCTATCGAAACTCCACATCATGTTTCAATAACGTATACAAGGGCGCAGATAGCTTTGAAAAATCTTGGACTAACTGGTGATAAAATCTAGCAAGTCCAAGAAAACTCCTTAAAGCTCGAACGTTTGTTGGTCTGGAGAAATTCTTCACAGCGGCTATCTTTGATTCAGCAGTAGCAATATCTATACCACTAATTTCATAACCAAGGTACGATATTTTCTTTTGCCCAAAGAAACACTTATCTGAATTTAATTTTAAGTTGGTTTCACGAAGCCTAGTCAACATGATTTCTATATGAGCCAAATGAGTATCGAAATCGGGAGAGTAAATATTCACATCGTCAATATAGGCCAGCACAAATTTTCACATTTTGTTTTTGAGAACACGGTCCATAAGCCTCTGAAATGTCACAGGGGCGTTCGTCAATCCAAAAGGCATTACTATAAATTCGTAGAGGCCAAATTTTGTCGTAAATGCTGTTTTCTCTTGGTCACGTGGTTCGATTCCAACTGCCAGAAGCTACTTGCAAGATCCAACATCGTATACTACGCCGAATTCTTAAAGGCTCCTAGAAGTTCATTGATCCGGAGCAGAAAATAACTATCACGCTTTGTTCTTTTGTTCAACTTACGGAAATCAACACAGAAGCGAAGTTTTCCATTCTTTTTCTTTACCAACATGACCGGGGATGCCCAAGGACTATTTAACAGCCGAATTAAACCCGATTCTTCCATTTACTTTATTTCTTGACCAATGAATTCGTGTTCAATTCGAGAGGTAAGGTAAAAACGTTGTTTAAGTGGAGGACCTTCTTCGGTATGAATTTCATGCTGCATGACCGTTGTACAACCCAACTCGTAAAGTTCACATGCAAACAAATCCTGGTAATTTTTTAACATTTCTAACATTCGTTGGTTTTGCTTCACAAACATTTCACCGATGTTTAACCCAAGGGTCAAATCCTTTACATTACTTAGAAAGCATATAGCCCAATCATTCTCACAACATTTTTTTATAGCACAATCATTACTATCGTGTCTGTTCTTCATATATAAGCTGCAGACTTTATCAAAGACCCTTATTGTACGAAGCTCGTGGAAGAAATACTCCTGGTTAATTAGAGCTTCATTGTCATCGGTGTATTCTTCATCACTATCGTTGGAACTTGTACTATCTTTGTCATCATCATCGTCAGAGTCATTAACCGGTTTCTTTCCTTTTTCTTTTGTAGTTTCGATATTCGGATCTTTGGCTTTAATACGATCACCAATGTTCGCCGGCTTGCAATATTTGGTCAGGATTTTTATTTCCTTATCACCGTCCATGATCGTAAGCTCGCAAGATTTTCAATCTAATTTAGCCCTAACTTTCTTCATCCAGTCATTTCCCACGATAGCGGCATAGTTCGTAGCATTCGTCACTACAGCCTTCGAGGTGATAGTTTTTCTATCCACAGTTATAGGAAAATAGTTAACTTCACCCAATAGCTGTTTTTGTTCACTGTGGATCTCAGTAATCAACATGGTAGAGGGATGATCAATTGCAATTCCAGCCTCCTTCAAGAAACCTGCAAAGACGACACAGCCCAAAGATCTACTGTCCAAGATTAAGATGATCCAAACATGAGCACCTATTGGATCCACAAGCAAGTATACAACAAGAAGTATACCAAATGATTATACAGCATAAAGAGGTCTATGCTGCGGTAGTAGAGATACCGTCAAATGAAATAGCTAATCAAATAGCACAAATACATGAAATCTCTAAACTAAGAGAATTGCAAGAGATATATTTCAGGAGAAAACACTCCAAGAAGAGTGGTCCAAAGGAAAATACCAAGAATTAAAAGAATACAAAAAGCAGTATAAAGGATCATCAGGAATAACAATTTCATTGAGAATGGAATTTGATGATTCAGAAGTAACATTACTTGCAAAACAAGTACAATGAATAACAGTTGCAGCAGAACATGAAGCGCTACAAAATAAACAAGAAAAGAAACTGAATCAACTCTATCTGGAAGCCACACAAAGAGAAATAAATCAATTTAGAAAACAAGTAATAGAAAAAGAAAGTACTAAAAAAGATAAGAAAGGAAAAGCTAAAAGCTTAAATATTATCTTTAATCAACAAGAAGGAAGCAAAGTCAAAATACCGAAAATGAGAACATTTATTAAGACACAATTGTCACAATTAGATCGAATCTTACAATTAGAAAAGGAACAAGAAGATCCAAGAATTAGAACAGGATTAAGACAACTAAAACAATGATTAGACTGTATAGAAACAAATTATAAATATGTTTCACAATTAACAAGACAACAAATTGATGAACATATTCAAGAAATTGAAAGAGTCACAAACAGAAAAATATTGGAAGCAGAAACAGCTGAAGACAAAAAAGCTTATCTATACAAAACAATATTCGCATTAACAGAAACAAAAGATGCTATTCTTTGAAAAAATAGAGACCTAGTAAAAGATCTAGAAGAAGAATATGGATATGCAACTAACCAAGCATTAAACTTGGACAAAAAAGATTTTAAAGCAATACAAGAGTATAAATAATGAATCTTAATGAAAAGATTTGCCAGACAAATGGAACAATATGAAAGTGAACCATTACGAGAACAATACAAAGCAAAATATAGAGAACTATTAGGAGTATCTCTAGAAAACTTAGATAAAATACATGACATAGAAGACGAAAAAGAATGAATGTTTCAAGAACAACAAAGAGCCAGAAGACAAGGCTTAGAATTACCAGAAACATTACCACCAAAATATCCATATTATGAAGAATATTTACCAACAATAAATGAACCACGAGAAATAAAACAAATAGCAAATAGATGGCTACTAGACGAAAACTTCAGATGAACATTAGAATAGCTAAATAAACAAGATAAAAATTAATACTCCAAAATACCAGAACAACCAATATCAAGAACAACAAGACCAAGTTCACCAATATCATCAACCTTCCTTGGTAAAGCAAAAAGAATGGTGCAAGGCACATTAAGCATAGCACAACAGATGTTAAGTAGAAGAAATTCAATACAATTGACACAATCATTCCACTCTAAGCAACATCAATATAAATCATCACCACTAATAAAAGAAGTACAACCAACTGATATAATATCAGAATCAAGCAGTTTTTACGCACCAACAAGCGATGATGACCAGCCAGTATTACCAAAATATGGTCATAAGAGACAAAGGTCGCAGCTCTCAAATCAATCATCTTCAGTAAGAAATCCACGATTGGAACAATTTAGAAGAGAAATCAACAAAGACAAAAACTATTCAGACAAACAGAACAAGAACAATTAACACAAGAAGATGTACAACAAATAGCTGAATTGAACAATATATTCAAGAAGATACAAATGACTACAATGATTATAGTCAGAATAACTACCAACAAGTAGAATTATATGATCTAAATAATGAATATAAAGCAGGAAGATCATCCCTACGATATGAACCAAAAAAAACTAAATGGACCAGAACCATAGAATCTGAATGGAAAGGACAAAAAGTTCTATACCCAGTACCAACAGGACAGTCAGCATTAACAGATGATGACTGGAGGATGTATACAAACATATAGACCCAGCACAGGTATGGATTGAAAATGCAAAACAAGAAGCAGATCTAGAAGACCTAGCTGAACATGAAACAGAAATAGATAAAGAATCAGAACCAGAGCAAGGATATGGTGTATCTGGAAATATATCTGATACAACAGATGTAAATCTTAATTTCTATAAAGAAATAAAAGAACAATATCCTACTTATATTATACATATCATATTACCAACAATATGAGAAAGAAAAAATGCTAAATATCAAATATTAGCAAATGAAGAAACAGATATACCTCCTATGACTATAGGGTATATTAAGATTCAAAAACCAATAAAAGAAGATCTTTATATAGGAACCATAGCCAGAGAAACCAAAAAAGCAGTAATTGTACAGCCTGGAATAGCAAATAGAAAATATATAACAATAATGAATTATTCTAATAAAAAATTTGAGATTAGAAAAGGACAACACATAGCAAATAGAGAAAATATCAAAATTAAAAATTTTAATGCAAAAAAGTGGAAAGATTTTGAACTGAAAATTAACCAAAATTTTCTTTAAAGATTACTAACTTTCGACGAACTCATAGAAAATGAAAAGAAGAGAATTAAAATCCTTCAAGACCACTGTCTTGAAACTGGAGGACCAGAAGTATGAAAATTAATCATACATATTTTGACCAAATATGTTGATGTATTTTGAGAAAAAGAAGAATTTCACATATTTGTAGACCCAAATGTGATCACACCGGTGGAATTTATATTTAAACCAGAAATTGATGAAAGAAAAATATCTTTAAAGGACAAGATGCAAGGAGGACGAAAGTATTCAGAAGAAGACTTGATCGTAATACAAAAAATGAGAGATGATTTACTAAAAAATAGAATAATATATAGTGGAAACACAGATTGGCAAAGTCTCTGTGTAGTAATAGAAAAGAAAGATAGAACGAAAAAGATTGCAATTGATTACAGAAAACTAAATAGTTTTCTCCTACCTCTTAGAGAACTATTATCTGATATGAAACAAATGCTACAAAGAGTAGCAAGATATAAATACTATATAACAATGAATATTAAATCAGCCTATTGGCAAATACTAGTAGCTGAGCTATCTAGAAAATATACAGCAACCCAATTTGCAGAATATGGAACATATTGTTGGAAAGGAATGCCATTTGGAATCCAAA